TATCAGCTGGATGCTTCACTCTCCACTCTAGTCCTCTGTGGCTATGTCACTGACTCTGGGCCCAAGAGTCCCCAGGTCTTGCAAGGCACCATTTTAATAATAGCAATAAACAAGGGAGGAAGCATAAAGTCTTCAACAGTGGGAAACTGGAGGATGGCGAGACTTCCTCTAGGGACACATTCTCAGGAGGGATCAGTTTCTGGAGAAACAGTCATTGAAAAAGAGGAAATCCTCTCAATGAGATGGATTGATACAGTGGCAACAACAATGAACATAAACATAAAAATTGTGAGGATGGCACAGAACTGGGCAGTGTTTCATTCTGCTACACCATTTTCATTGTACATGAATGAAAAACAATGTTGATAAAACAGTGAGAAAAAAACAACCACGTTACAGTAAGATGTTTCTTACTGTCTAGCTTTGAGGTTTACACATTAAAACCTAAAAAAACTAAAAAAATTTACACATGTAAAAATTCTGGAAGAGAATGAGCAAACTGTTAGGAATGGTGTCTCAGTTATCTAGTGTTGCTATAACAAACAACACAAGTGGGTGGCGTTACAAACAAATGTACTTTTTTACAATTCAGGAGACCCTAAATCTTTTTCAGGACACTGGACAAAGTGGAAGGCTTTCTCTTTGTGCTCTGAAAGGTCCATGTCTCTGTTAAACTTCTGTTCCTTGGTAATCTTTATGTCGTTTAGCATCTTTTCTCCATCTGTGCTTGCTTGATTTGTTCTTTTTATTTCCTCCATCTGTGCCCAATTTGTTCTTTTTATTTCCCTAAAGTGTTGACTTAAGATACATCATACACTGATAGGACCTTATTAAGGTTGTTGTTAAGTGCTGTAGAGTCGGTACCCACTTATAGCAACCCTGCATAGGGTTTCTGAGGAGCAGCTGGTGAGTTTGAACCACCACCTTGCGGTTCAATCCAACCATGCAGTCCAGGGCTTTATCCCACACCAGGTCTCCTTATTAACATTACAAAGAAAATCATATTCCCAAATGGAATTACATTCACAGGTATCAACCCCAAACTAAACCTATTGCTGTTTTGTTGATTACATTCATAATGACCCTATAGGATAGAGTAGAATTGTCCATAGGGTTTCCAATTGGCACTATGGACTAATGCGCTGGACTGCAAAGTCAGTTTGAACCATGAGGTCATTGGTTCAAGCTCACCAGCTGCTCCTTGGAAACCCTACACAAGGTTCTTATGGGTTGGAACCGACTCAATGGCACTTTATAACAAGAACCACAATTTTTATGGAAGCAGATTGCCACACTTTTCCCTTCAAAGCAGCTAGGGGTTCAGACCATAGGCTTTCTGGTTAGAAGTTGAGCATTTAATCACTATGCCAGAACCACTTATTCACAGGTATGTTGTTGTTAAGTGCTGCTGAGTCAGTTCTGAGTCACAGCAGCCCTGTATAGGGTTTCTAACGAGCAGCTGTGGGTTTGAACTCTGACCTTACGGTTAGCACAGGTATGTTGTTAAGTCTGTCAAGTTGGTTCCAATACGCAGTCACCCTGTATAGGGTTTCCGAGGAACAGCTGGTGAGTTTGAACTGCTGACCTTGTGGTTCACAGTCCAGTGCTGATCCTATAGGGCTATACCAAGAGTCAGCACAGGTATAGAGGTTAGGATTTTTAACACATATTTTTGGGGAACATACTTTATCCCCTAACAAGTGGTAATCCATGGGTGGTTGGACTATGGGTGATTTCTTTAAGTCTGTTTTCTAAAATAAGCATGCTTTAATTTTTAATTTTATGAAAAATCAACATAAATCTTAAATTCATTTTAATTTAAAACAAGCCTGGAATCTCAGGAGAACATTAAAAACTGCTATAAGACGTGGAGCTATGGAGCAGCTGGAGACTTTAGATCCAGAGAGGGAGAGCGACTGTGTGCTGAAGACCTGGGGGTACCGGGAAGTATTGCATGGAGGGGACTGTAACCATGGTAATGAGACCATATACGATAGAATGAATGTAAAACTAATGTTCTCCCATGTAAACTATCACATAATTCACAATAAAACATTAAAAAAAAACTGCTATAAGAAAAGAACAGGAAGAGTCAAATACTTGAAAATTTTAATCTAATTCAAAGCTAAATTTACCAATTACCCAGTTTCCTTAAATCTCTGTTGTTGTGGTGTTGTACTGTGGTGTTGTACTGTCCAGTTGGTTCCAACTCATAGCAACCCTGTATAGGATTTATGAGGAGCAGCTGGTGGGTTTGAACCTCTGACCTTGTGATTCACAACCCAGTGCTTATCCTACTGCGCCACACCAGAAGCTCAAATCTCTCAGTATGAGTAATACATGGAAAGATTTTAGTTCACGGATTTTAATATTAATTGTTACTGATACTTCTGAAAGGTAGCTTTCTTTTCTCCCCATTAAAGAAGATAAAATGAAATCAATTGGGTTTACTTTAATTTCTTCTTAACTTGGTTTAAAATATTAAACTAAATACCAATGTCTAAAAACTAATGGCTAATCCCCATTAAAATTAGTACAGTATGTCAATAGTAAGAACACTGTGTCGTTCTTTATTCGCAGTAATTGCCTATAATGAAAGAGTTGACAACTATGCATGGAAGTAAAATAAAAATCTCACCTAATGAGTACTGAGATCGATGCCACAGTGAATAATTTTGAAATTAATAATGATCCCGAGGTTTGATATTCATTGAATATTACGAATAAAATCATTTTAATACAGGCGCATAAAATTCACAACTAAAAACAGTCAAACCCAAGACCAAGTGGCATCAAGGGGTGTTCAAATCATGGTGACTCTGCCGAGACTGTAATCTAAAGGGGAACAGATAGCTTCATCTTTCTCCCGGGAGTCACAGGTGGGTTTGAACGGTGACCTTGTGGTTAGCGGTTCAATGCTTTCTTTACTCCTTGAGCCTCCAGGGTTTCTTAAAACCCAAGTGGTGAGCGTCAATTCCTTCTGAAATGTATTCGCTTTCCATCTCAGACAGTTCCTATGACCCTGGCTGGTCCTATAATTTCCATCTCCTCGAGATGACAGAGCGCAGCAGTCCGCCCCAAACAGCTTGCAGAACTCTGATCTGTTTGTTTGGGCACCAGTTCCCGCCTGTCCTAAGCCTCAGCCTCTAGCCCCGCCCCTTTCCCCAGCCCCAGCAGCCCCGCTCCTGGCCCATAGGTGACGCACCAAGGAGCTGAGAGGACTCTATTGCGCACGTCCAAGGCAGCTCGACAAGTGGAGAGAAGTGAGCTACAATGAGGCGCGGGACTCGGCGGGCTCCTTCCCGGAAACGGAAGCTCGAGGGGCGGGCCAAAAGGGATCGGGAGCCCGTGGCGGTTAATTTTTTTTACTGTTCGACTTCAGTTTCCTCTGTCTGTGTTCCTCTGAGGCTTCGCGAGATGGTTAGGTCCGGACCTCGGCCGGGCCAGGTGAGGGGTATGGACCTGAGGAGTCCACTGTGGGGCTGGAGAGGGACTGAAGTGTTTCTCGGACCGAAATGAGTGTAAAACTCCGCTTTAAAAAAGTCGCGACAACGGAGGTGGTATAAATAAGGCTAGGGGTGGTGGGGGCGGACAGCACACCTTACCTCCCTAATGCAGGTACATCTTCTGTTTACACTGAGTAGTCCTCAGGAGCGTTGCTTTTGGTGTTAGACCTGGGTTTGAGTCCCTGCTTCTGTCGCCTCTCTGAGCTCCAGTACATTGCATCAAATCCAACTTCTTACCCCATCCACTAAGTGCTATTAGCTGAACTTGGTGCTGTTGTCACCTCTGTCACTATTGCTGGTAAGATGTGGCGCTGTGGTCTACTGCGTCAGACTGCAAAGTCTTGAACTGCAAGGTTGGTGGTTCAAGCTCACCAGCCGCTCCTTGGAAACCTTATACAGGGTCGCTATGGGTCGGAATTGACTCGACGGCACTTAACAACTAAGAAAAAATACCCCCATTGGTGTTCTGGCCTTTAGCCTTACTACTCTGAAATGAACGCCCCTTGTTGTCGCTAAAATCCTCTTTCCTGTTTAAAATTCAACACTGGGACATGCCCTTTAAAAAAAAAATTCATGATTTTTTTTTTTTTTTTATGGGGTCGCTATGAGTAGGCAATCGGCTTGCTTGTAAGGTGGAAATAAAAATAAAAACAAACCCACTGCCATCTAGTACACAGTGAATTAGAATCCCATTTTAACATTTTTTACACGAATTGTATCTTGCCATGGTTACAATGCTCACAATGTGTCAACATTCTCATTTTCATTCTGTGCTACTTGCATTGATCTAATTTCCCTTTCCCCTCCTTGATTGTTTGGTCTCATCTGCCTCTCGGCTCAATGAGAGGGGTCTTGCCTTCTACTGATTAAGAATAGTTAGGCGAGGCAGAATTTCCAGCTAAGTACAGCAAAGAGACTTGTAAGTAGGGCCAGGGACAATTTAAGTCAACACGTAACCTCTTCGGCTCCCAGAAAAAGGCTTTAATGGAGTTTAAAAGGTTTGGGGTAGGAAAAAGACAAGTTTATTCACAGGGATAGGTCAAGATTTGGGGAAATGCCCTGTTTAAGAGGGGCCGTGCTAATTGGGTGTGTGCGCAGCATTTTTTCAAGATGAATTCTACCGCAAGGGCGTCTGGTAGGAGCAGACAGATGTATTCTGGGATGTGACGCATGCTTCTGGACTCTAGTTCAAACTCCTCCCAGGGACTAGTGTTTTCTTTAACCCTGGTAGATTTATCCCTTAAAGTTATGCCTAGGGCACTAGATAAACCAGTCTAACCTGTAACTATCTCACAAAGAAGTAAAAACAGAATTTTTATGGATTGTTTTCCTTAATGGCATGACACTGTGATAAGCACTGGACCAAAAATTTGGTTTGAACTACAAGGCCCGGGTTCAAACTCACCAGCCACCCCTTGGGAACCCGATAGAGAGTTGCTATGAGTCAGGATTGACTCGGCACTTTACAACAACTTCATTAATGGCAAGAATGAAATACAGAATTCTCATAAAATAGAGAATTTTGATGGGTGTTTGTCCTTAATGGCACGTCCCAGGATGTGGTTGTTCGACTATGGCCCAGGGCATGTCCTGCACATCTTTACAATTGCTCAGATAAGGAGGGGTGTAGCTCAACATTCCTCAAGACTTCAATGACAAGATTTCAAGAAATAATTGACTTATGTTTAATCTTGATTTCTGAACCCCTTTTTCTCCTTATTTCAGGAGTATGTTACTCACAGTGCCCGTTCCATTCTGGGAATATCTAGTTAATCCTGCAGTGTCCTGGATGGTCCGTGCCCTCTAATGTCTTTGCCTTTGCACGTCTATTATATTTTCTCTGCCTGTATTGCCCTAATGATCTTCTGTTCTTCAGAAATCTTCCCTAGTACTCTGACATCTCCCATGATTGGGTGCCCCTCATCCTATTGCAAGCACCCTGTGTTAACATTTACCAATTATTTTTTTTTAACTTTTTATTGTATATTGAGTGAAAGTTTACAGAGCAGATCATCAGTTTTACATTCAACAAATCATAGACTTCCTTTCATTTCAGTGATTTCAATCCCCTGCATGTATCGTCAGTTATCCTACTTCATTCCTGTGATTCTTGTATCCATGCCACCTTCTTTCTCAGTCCTTCTGAATTTTGTCTGTAGGTAGATGCAGCCCTTTCCATGGTGTACATACCTCACTAGTGTTGTTGTCCTCCCTCCCTGTACACCTGTCTACTGCATGGCTGAAAATTAAGCTAAGAGGTTAAGTTTAGTTTTAGACCTGAATGGTGACTAAGGGCTCAGGTACCACCAATCTCTCTGACTAGTAAGCCTGGTCATTTTTAATATAATTTTGAGTTTTGTTACATATTTTTCCCACTCTATCCATGACCTTCTAATATGATTCCTTTCAGAACAGTTGGTGGTAGTAGCCGGGTTCCATCTAGTTATTCTGGTCTCAGGGTTTTGTTGACTGATGTCCATGTGGTTTTTTTTTTTTTTTTTAGTCCATTGGGCTAATTGTTCCCAAACATCAATTTTCATCACTCTTTTCCTCCACACAGGGAGACTAACAGTTGCACCTTAGATGGCTGACTGCTCATGAGCTTATAAGATCCCTGGCACTACTCATGAAAGTAGTTTGCAGAACATTGTGTTTGTGGACTATGTTATGCTTATTAACCATGGTGGATCAGACTACTTTTCAGAATCTTTGACTCTTTACCTGAAAGAAGCCCTGGTGGTACAATGGTTAAGCCCTTGGCTGCTAATGGAAAGCTTGGCAGTTATAAACCTCCAGCTTCTGCATGGGAGAAAGATGTGGCAGTCTGCTTCCTTAAAGATTTGCAGCCTTGGAAACCCAATGGGGCAATTCTACTTTGTCCTGTAGGATCACTCTGAGTTGGAATTGACTCAGTGACAGTGGGTTTGAGTCCCAGCCTCTGGTTTATTTTTGCTTCTTCACATAGGATAACACTGACATAGAAGATTTTCAGGGAATAATTAGTAAATTTTTAGGAAATGTATTCTGTTTCTCCCATAGACCGGCTACTTAATTGCTTCTAACCACTCTTTGTTTCTTCATTTATCAACTCATCTCACTCATTTCACCATTAATATGAATCTTTAACACTCTTTTAAAGACCATGCTCAAGATTTCTTCCCAGTACTTATATTCACTGAAATACTATACAACCATTGTTGTTGTTGTTAGGTGCCATTGAGTCAGTACCAACACATAGTGACCCAATGCACAACAGAACAAAATACTGCCCAGTCCTGGGCCAACCTCACAATTACTGCCACATTTGATCCCATTGATGCTGCCACTTCTCCAATCCATCTTGCTGGGGGTCTGCCTCTTTTTCTCTGACCCTTCACTTTACCAAACATGATACATTTCTCCAGCGACTGGTCCCTCCTGACAATATGTCCAAAGTATGAGAGATGAATCTTTGCCATCTTGGCCTCTAAGGACCACTCTGACTGCACTTTTTCCAACACAGATCTGTTTGATCTTTTGGCAGCCCATGGCACTTTGAATATTCTCCTCCAACAGCATAACTCAAATACATCAATTCTTATACAGCCTTCCTAATTGACTGTCCA